AGGATTTTAAATTGAATTCTGAATTGAACTGGGAGCCAATGGAGTTGGTGAAGAACAGGGGAAATATGATGGAAGGAGGGGGTTCTGGTGATGACACGAGCAGCGGAGTTCTGAAGAAGTTGAAGTCTATGGAGAGATTTATGAGGAAGGCCGAAAAGAAGAGAATTACAATAATCAATACGGGAGATGATGAGGCTGTGGATAAGGACAGAGGCAGTATAAGTGGTGAGGGAGGAACGGAGACGGTTAATGTTGCGAAGATGGAAGTATGCAGACCTGGTAATTTTGTTTATGTGAGACTGAAAGGAGAGGGAGGAGTCGAGGATGACACCCAGAATCTTGACCTGAGGGGAGGGGGAGACTAAGAGGTTGTCAATGGGTAGTGAGAAACTTTTGATTTTTGATAGGGTGGATTTAGTGGCAACGAGGAGGCAGCGGCGTAGGAAGCGGGGGGGGACGGGGGGACATGTCCCCCCCAATATAAAAGCCAGGTGGATATGTCCCCCCCAAAAAATTGTACCGCAAAATATTAGATTTTGACATTTTTTTACTAGCGTGCTTTTATTTTGAAGGCGCAGCATAGCGTTACGTCACTGTACTCCCCCTCCCCTCTCTGAACTGCTGAGTGAGAGTGAAGGGAGGGAAACAGCGATACAGAAGTCAGAAACTTGTGAAAGAGGTAAAATGGTCTGTCGGGATGCTGCCTATTTAAAACGTATTTGTTGTCAGTTCACTTTCATATATAGAAACTGAATCTTTTTGGTTTAGTCATCTTAGGCTACGTTCACACTGCAGCCTGAAGTGACCCAATTCCGATTTTTTTGCCCATATGTGACCTGTATCTGATCTTTTTATGACAGTCTGAACGACACAGATCGGATTTTTTCAAATGCGACCCAGGCCACTTGGATATGTGGTCCTGAATCCGATACGTATCTGATCTTTTCAAATGCGACCTGTGTCTGTACGGCCAGGTCGCATTCATCCGACCTACACGTCATTGATACTTGACAAATGTTACTAAACGTTACTAATCTGCGTCCTACTAAGCGGAGGTGGGAAAAACTAACAACCATGGCGGAAGATAACACAGAGAGCAGTCAATGGAGAGAAAGTGAGAGCTCTGTACGGACGTTGCTATTACTGCCCCACAAAACGCCATTGCAAGAAATCTGGCTCTCTTTCTTTTTGATCTTCTTAAAAAGATTTCATTCGTAATGTGCCTGCTCCTGTTGGAGAAGAACTTAAAGAACGCAATATACGCTGCAGTATTACGAGTCATGTTTACTTCCGCAAACACTGAGGACGCTTGCTACATGTGACGTCATCGCGTCCTCGAGTGCGCATGCGGGACACTTCGGTTGAACGCTTTCAGTTCACACAGTAGACCACATACAAGTCGCATATACTTGGAAGTGTGAACGGACATGCAAAAAAATCCGATTTCACAAAAAAATCGGAATTGAGCATTAAGGCCTGCAGTGTGAACGTAGCCTTAGTCTTGTACGAAAGAGGATTAGGGCCACTGGAAAAAAAAAAGTTAACTGATTTTTTAATTTTTTTTAGTTTAACATGGGTAAAAAAGTAAGAATTCTGACTTTTCTCAGAATTCTGACTTTAATCTCAGAATTCTGACTTTTTTCTTCTGACTTTTTTCTCAGAATTCTGACTTTAATCTCAGAATTCTGACTTTTTTCTTCTGACTTTTTTCTCAGAATTCTGACTTTAATCTCAGAATTCTGACTTTTTTCTCAGAAATCTGACAGATGATTAATATTTGTAATCAATTTACAGTGTTTTTTTTTTTGTTTTTTTTTGGGGGGCGGGGCGGGGTTGGGGGGGGGGGGGGGGGGTAATATACAGATATATAAAAACAAGAAGGTCTAACTAAAAAAATAACCAGAATATATGTTTAGAGTAAAGATTTACTACTTGTACACAAGCACACAATTTCAAATCTGCTGAGCTTGCTGTGCAAGAAAATGTAAAATATACGTATAAAGAAATATAACAGGAAGTACTGCTAAAACAAACTAAATGTTAAATAATGTAGATATTGGTTTAAAAAATTCTTCAGATTTGGAAATTTGGAAGGAATACATAATTTTGAAATTAATCAACAAATCTGGTAAAAAATAAAAAATAAAAGTTGCACTTTTTTACTTGAGGAATTTGTTGAATAACTTCATAATTATGAGTTTAACTAGTTGGAGGTAATGCTACACTTCTCTGCTTCCTGTCCTGCTCATAAAAGGTAAACATTATAAACCCACCATTCATTTTCTACACTATTTGGAAAACACAACACAAATGTAATATAACAAAAGTATGTTTAACAACAAACATGTTAGCATCAAGCCATAGCCATGTCTGTTTTAGAGACTAGCTCTCTTGTTTTAATGACCTTCTGCTCCTCCATTTATAAGGGGGACCCCTCGGGCACATCAAAAGTTGCCTAATTCTGTAATTTTTCACCAATATGTCACTGGTCATCTCAAACAACTCACATCTTTATCAGTGAAGCTGAATGCTCCACATCTCTACCTTCATGGTGCCCATCTACATTAAGATCCAAAATTCTGAGATTAAAGTCAGAATTCTGAGAAATAAGTCAGAATTATGAGATTAAAGTCAGAATTCTGTGAAAAAAAGTCAGAATTCTGAGAAAGAAGTCAGAATTATGAGATTAAAGTCAGAATTCTGTGAAAAAAAGTCAGAATTCTGAGAAAAAAGTCAGAATTCTGACTTTTTTCCTGTATTAAACTGAAATAAAATTTAAAAATCACTTAACTTTTTTCAGTGGCCCTAATCCTCTTCTGTAGTCTTGGGCTGATCACTCATCCAATATTTAACTGCTAACTTTCTCTAGATGTTTGCCACGCTAGCCAAAATGTTATTTTTTTTTTATATATCTCATTTCAGTACAATGCCACCACCAACTAAAAGGCTTAAACAGCAGTAGGACTTACTCAGATTTTTAAAAAAGAGAAACGTCAGTGTGAGTAACAGTCACCTTACACAACTTGTGTTGAAATTAGCCCGGTCTGGGATTTTTTATTTTTTGTGTGGTTTTGATTCGCCGAAATGGACAGATGTTATATCTGCCGTGCTCCTGATCGTTAGTTAAAACCACAGGGAGAATTAATTTTAATTCTTAGCAGCGAACTGATGCACAACCACTAATTAACCAACTAATTAACTTCTGCACCTTTATTTCCTCAAATAAACTGCTGGCTCCTCTTTTTAGACTATAAACAGATTAACACAACATTGACAACTCTGTAGTTTTCTCTGTTCTGTACTGCAAATTGGAATTAAAGACGCCATTTCTACCAAAGGTCGGGACAGACTGGCGCACCAGCACCTCCTGACCCCACTAAGGGACAGGGTGTACAGAAAATGGAAGGATAGATGGATTTCTACCAAAGATTTAGAATGCGTTTTTGAACCAGATGCTTCAAAGCGCCCTGTCCATAATTCTTCACCACACTGTCAGCTCCCTCTGTCAGTCAATCTATATAAATTCATTTTTGACCATTATTGCAAGTTTGACAAAATAAAACATATCAAACTTTGCACTTCTGTGGCCTACTGAATTGTTTTTAATCCAACTGAAATATTTGATTTTCTAGTGCGTATGCGGACACTAAATATGCCAAGGGCTGAAGCCCTTGAAAGACATCTCCCTTTGCTTAATAAAAGACTCCAGTCATTTTGTTTGGTGATATGCTCACATCTTATGAACAAATGCATTATGTAAATTTTAAATGCATTATTTTTGCAAGACACATTTATAAAGGAATAAAGTAAAAGATTAAATAGCCTTTTTTTAAAGTAGCGTACTTAAGACATGTTTCTGTTGAATATTTACGAATCTCAGATTTCCGACATGTGTCCCCCCCAATTGTAAACATATTCCTACGCCCTTGCGAGGAGGAGTTCTGTTTTATCACTGTTTAGTTTAAGGAAGTTTGAGGTGAACCAGTCTTTAATTTCAAGTTGGCAGTTAGTAAGGGACAAGGGGGGGAGTGAAGAAGTGGGTTTACTGGATAAATAAAGCTGGGTGTCATCCGCATAACAGTGAAAATGAATGTTGAATTTCCGGAAAATACTGCCAAGGGGAAGAAGGTAGGTGATGAAGAGGAGGGGGCCAAGAACTGAGCCTTGAGGAACACCAGAAGTGACAGGGGAAGGGAGCGAAGTGAAGGATTTGAGCTGAATAAACTGAGTGCGGTCGAGAGATATGAGCGGAACCAGTCAAGAGGGATGTGAGAGATGCCAAGAGAGGATAATCTATTGAGGAGAATGGGATGAGAAATGGTATCAAAGGCCGCACTGAGATCGAGAAGGATGAGGATGGAGAGGAGTCCAGAGTCAGCAGCTATAAGGAGATCGTTTGTGATTTTTATTAGGGCAGTTTCAGTACTATGAGAGGGGCGAAAACCAGACTGGAAAGGCTCGTAAAGGCTGTTGAGGGTAAGAAAGGTGTGGAGTTGAGCAGACACAATTTTTTCAAGTATTTTAGAGATAAAGGGAAGATTAGAAATGGTAAGAAGATTATTAAAGTTAGCGGGATCAGAACCAGGTTTTTCAGAATCGGGGAGACAGATGCAGTTTTGAAAAGTGAAGGAACAATACCAGAGGAGAGTGAGGAATGAATAATGGAAGTAATGAAGGGGAGGAGGGAGGTAAGACAGGTTTTGACCAGAGCTGTGGGGAGGGGGTCAAGAGAACAGGTTGAGGACTTGGATTTTTGAATGAGGTCAGAAATTTCAGTCGAAGTGGGCAGTAGGAAGGAGGATATGTATATATCTATACATATAGTTCAATTTGAATACTACACGGTATAATTCCAGCCTATGCCAGGATAATAAAATAGTCCTTTAATAACAATATTTGTTTGCTTGTGAAAACCAGAATCAGCAGCTATGAGAAAAGATGCTTCAACATTTTTCAGCTTTAGATATTCTTTTCTTTGTTAATTTTTTTATCATTAACAGGGAGCCCTGATGACCCAGATGAAGATCCTGTTTACACTAATATTGAAGCAGAAACCACAGGTGGGTGCTTTCAGCTCCAACAGCAGTATTACTTAAAAAAATAAAAGAAAAGGTAATTGGTTATGTTACTAGTTAGTTCTTAACAAAGTAACTAAGTTAGTAACCTAGTTACTGCATAATCACAGTAACAAGTTACTAGTAAAAGTACTTATGCATCATACTTTTTATGATCAAAAATGTTGAAGACTTTGAAAAGGTTTCCTGTTAACTAAGCTTTAAATACAACACAATACAAATTTAGTGATGAAATATAGGACGTTTGCAAATAAAAAAGCACTCTCACCTAAGGCTTGAATAATCTGGCACTGTTGACTGATTAAAGGCTGGTTAATCAAGAGCTGAAGCAGGTGGATCAGATGAACGGTGATGAGAACTGGGCGGAGCTAAGAAGGTGAATGAAATGAGTAATCAGGCTAGTTATCAGCGTCACGAAAATAACAATTTAATCATTTTTAATTCATTTATTCTTTTTCAGTTTTGTGTTATTTGAATTACTAGTGGAAATGTATCATTTTCTTTAATGGGAGGGTATGTAAATTGTTAAGCACAACTATATAAATCTAAAAAGTTATGCTTTTCAAGTCATTTAACAAAAATAAATAGATGTGCAACTAAATCAAACAGCATCAAATAACCATTCCTGCAAACAAACAAACAAACAAAAAAAAAAAAACTATATGATGTATAATTCTTGTATTTCTTTGTGACAAAATAGTAAATAAAACAAACTAATTCAGCAAAGCATAGAAAATTAAAAGCAACATGTGGGCAGCCATATGTCAGTCTGTTGCTGGTGGTTAGATGATACGAGGAGCTTCTTTAGATTAGAGATGCTTGTAACTGACATATAAAGTCTTTGTTCCCACACTTAATGAGCAATTAGAGAAATATTTAGCCTTTAACTTCAGCTAGTAATTAGAGGAACTCTCTGTCTATGTTCAAAAGATGAGGAACTTGTTTTTGTACTTTGGAAAAATACTGACATCTTATTTTTTCTTAGAATCGAGTGAATGCTAATAGATAATTCAACATAATGAAAAAGAAAAAATGAACAGAAAGGTATATACGTTTATTCATAGTCCTTCTATATCATCTATAATTCTTATGACTGTATAATTAGGTTTTTTTCTGATGGTTTACTGATGCACATTCATAGTAATGTTTTTCTTCTTCTTAGCAATGAGCACAAAAGTGTTTAAATTATTGCAAGTCTTTTAAAATGTGAAACGTTGTCAAACTCTCATAATTTACAGTGATGATTGCAAAAAATGAAGGCGAAAAAGAAACTTTTTCAATCTTTTTCCTTTTCTTTACAGGAATGTAGAGTCCAGAAGCAGCACATGGAGCGGTTTATTCTATGAAACACCTTGAAAACAATAACAGACATACAAAGATGTCTCAACAATTTTAAACATTTTTCTGTGGATTTTGTTAGTTGTTTTTTTTTTCTTTTGTGGTAGCCTGTCTTTTATCAGCAACACAATGTTTCACATAAAAATGTGTTTATTTCTGGTATTTTATCTTAGTATCAGCTTTTCAATTAAATGACAAAACTTCACTTCAGTTTATTATTATTTTTTTTTTAAGTAGACATATATTATCAAACATTTAACTTTGATTTATATTGCTTTGTCTTGCTTTTTTTGTTTTTCTTTTCAGCCATTTTCATCTTCAAAGTCTTGGTTTTACCAGGACACTTTTTGTAGATTTGTTTCATCGGCTACTAATCATTGCCATAACTCTTTAACCCAATAAAAACAAGCTGAATGTATATTTATGCAAAATAAGATTTAATGCAAATAAATTGTGGTGAGATTGCAGCTTTTTAAGATTTTAACACAATAATCATTTTGTTGTTAACTATGCTTATTATGACGTGTTAAAATCAGCAGGTAGTATGTCAATAAGTGAATGTTTAATGTTCCCATTAGGGGTCATTTCTGGATGTGAATGGGCAGAGTTATCATGCTAAATGAAAGTAAGTAAAAACAAAGTTTTTATTTTAACATGCACATTTAAAGTGTTTTACATACTAACCAAAAATGTATGTAAAAAATATTTCTTGTTATTAAAAAAGAAAACAGTTCTTTTTTGTTCCTGATCATTTTTTATGGGTCCCCGTTGGTATTTTGTATATTTATATTTATTAAAGACCTTCAACTCTTTGCAATTGACTTAGACTTAGACAAACTTTATTGTCATTTTGTATACACAGAGTGTATACTGTCACGCCCCACTCATACGAACTGACAAAAATGGGACAACCAGACGCAACCATGTTTATGAGACACTGGAACGTTGCTGGTGCATTACGCAAGCCAAAACTCATAACAAAGTAAGAAAACCGACCAATGAGAATTATAAAGGCAGAAATCTCACTAGCTCTCAGACAATGGAACTTGCCAATAACTCTTCAATAAATCAAACTTGCTGACAAACTGAGCTGAGCCAACCTGATCAACACAGTCTTCCATGCGTGGCATAGGGTAAGCATCAGGTTTTGTAACCATGTTCACTTTCTGATAATCAGTACAAAATCTAAAACTTTTGTCAGCCTTTTCCACCAACAAACAAGGCGAAGCCCAGCTAGATGCAGAGGGTTTAGCAATATCATTATCAAGCGTGTACTGAATCTCCCCATCCAAGACCTTCCGCTTTTCTTCAGTTATTCTATAAAAGCACTGCCGAATTGGCTGGGCCTCACCTACATCAATATCATGTTGCATTAAGTGAGTTTGACAGGGCACATCACCAAACAAACAATGATATTCATTCAACACAGCAGCACAACTCAGCGCCCTCCTGCTGAGACAAGTGTGCAAATAAAGAAACCAGATTCCTCAGTGCATCTGAATTTTTCAAACTGCCAGTCAACAAACTCTCACTAGGTGGAATTACCCCATCATTCTCAAGTGCAGACAAGAATCCTAAACCACCCACTGTAGGAACTACTAAGACTGTCTTCTCAACCTGTGGCTCCTCTCCTTTAATGGCAGATACCTGTCAATCCCGAGTGTAAGATGGTTTTAATAAATTCACATGGCAAAGTTGTGCTGACTTCCTATGCCTTGGCATTGACAGCAGATAGTTCTGATCTGACAGCTTGCCCAGGACTGTAAATGGTCCTGTAAATCTAGCATGAAAAGGGGAGCTCACAATTGGTTACAATGCAAGAACCTGATCACCAGGACTAAAACAGACGTTCCACCTTACGGTCATAGATGCGTTTAATTTTCTTCTGAGGTCAATTTCTCCCTAGCCAGTTCCACCGCCACACACAAACAATGCCTAAAGCCATTGACATAGTCAATTAACCTAGTTGGAGGTTGTGAAGGTCTCGCAGCATCATGCAAATGTTTAAGTGGCCCATGTACTGCATATCCAAAAACAAGCTCATTTGGGTTAAAACCTGTGTTCTCCTGCACCACCTCACGAGCGGCCAACTAAAGCCATGGTAAACCATCCTCCCAATCCCGGTTTAACTCCACACAGTAGCTATGCAACAAGGACTTGAGGGTCTGGTAGAACCTCTTAAGAGCACCTTGACTCTGAGCATGGTATGCAGAAGCCTGATAATGTTTTACCTTTAAATTTCAAGACTTGAGCAAACAAATGAGAAGGAAATTTTGAACCTTGATCGGACTGGATGACTTTTGGAATACCAAAAATAGAAATAAACTGTATCAGAGCCTTCACCACAGTCTTAGCAGTAATAGCATGGAGTGGATATGCAGCTGGATATCTTGTTGTCTGACACATTACTGTTAACAAATAATTACTCCCAGCCTTAGAATGGGGCAAAGGACCAACGCAATCAATAATGAGATGCTCAAAGGGTTGCATAATTGCCGGAATTAGATACAAGGGAACCGGCTTAATGTTCTGGTCTGGCTTCCCTGTCATCTGACAGGTATGGCAGGTTTTGATGTATTCATCCTTTTTTAACCGATGCCAGAAAAAAACCCCGCAGGATATAATTGTTAGTCTTGTGGACCCCCAAATACCCTGATTGACCATGGGAAGACCGTAACACTTCACTGCGAAATTTAGAGGGAACAACAGTCTGCCAGAGTGGGTCACCAACAAAACCTTCCCCTTGCACCAACCATTTCCGTACCAACAATCCATCTTTCAGCATGTACCCACTGGCCACACACTCTTCCTCCATGAAAACCTGATCAAATAGATGATGAAGAGAAGAATCTGCTCCCTGCTCTGTCATCAGGTCACTAAGAGAAACAGACAAAAGAGAATCAGGGAAATATACGCAGAAAAAAAATCACTTTCCTCTGCTCCCCCACCTTCATGGTCAGGAACAGATGCAGATTCAGCATGGTGCATAGCTCGTGTCACTGCACAAGCTGTAAAAACCCCAGGGAAAAAATCTGCACTCTCATCCAACTTCCCAAAACCAGGGTAAAAAGTTACTATGGGTGCAGGTAGCGGACAATCGGCCCACACCCGGCCACCAGCAAGATCATTGCCTAAGATTAAATCCACCCCCTCGAGAGGAGGTGCAGGGGGCACCCCCATAATAACCTCTCCCTGAACCAATCCACTTGTCAATGTAAATCTATGCAGTGGAACTGGTTCCACCAGTCCCATTCCCCGCATCGAAACATGGTCACCAGTATTGGTGCTCACAATATATGAATTAAAAGCCCCAATATCCCTTTATGACACTGTAGCTTTACTCCCCACTATGGACACATGGCCTTCAGAAACAAAAAGTGAAAAATCCTCCTTGTCCAAAGTGTACTTCCGTCCCACTTACACTAGCTTAGAGGAAACAAAACCAGCATGTTTTTCAGAGTCAGCATAAGCAGTAGATTTCACTTGAGCACCCCATTTAAGGCGTTCACGCTTCCAATGGCACCTGGCTTTGCAATAATGACATATGTCAGTCTGATCCAAATAAACATGCCCACCTGAAATCCATCCATCCAAACACAACATGGGTTTGTTTCCCACCCTTCTGCCATGTCTGAAACCTCTGTCGCTAAGCCTCTGGTACTAACTCATAAGCTGTTAAAACAGCCTTCTTCAAAGTGGCATAAAGCCAACTGTCATTCACTGGGAGAGCAGCGTAGGCTATGCTTCTTGTGCTTTGCCTGTGAACACACTGTAAAAGCAGTGTCCGGTCCGGCTCAGACCAGCCTCTACTATCAGCAACATGCTCAAACAGGGGCAAGAATGTATCTAGATCCCATTCAGAAAACTGAGGAAATAAATGCAGATTATTGCCAACATCAAACGAGCTAGAGTTTTGCCTATCGGAAGCATCAAGGGCAACGTGGCCCTCAATAATTTAACTCAATCTACTTTCTTCCAACTCTAATTTTTTCATATAATCTTTGCTGTTCTATGCCAGCCTGCAGCAAAAGCAGCTCCCGCTTTTGTTCAACAGTCAAGCTAGTTTAAAAAACCTCAGTGTCCAACCATGTCCCAGTAGCCTGAAACTTAGCTGGTCCTAACACACCTGAGTCAGTTAGATTAGCTTTAATGATAGCTTTAATACTCTCCTTAGACCACTTATCACTGACCTCCAATTTAAAATGTTCAGCGATCTTTAATAATTGTTCATGTGTGCAGCACTCCAACCCCTCTTGAGACGGATCTTGCAAAAACTTGTCAACAGCAGCCATGACAATAACAATTATTCACACAACACCTTAGTTCCAACCCTAACAGTAGCACTATAAGCTCCCACAATCCCAAAACAGCCACAGTGTCACAGTGACCCCGTCTCTCTAACTGCCTAACCAGGATCTAACTAATCTCCCCCCTAGTTTTCGGTTGTTTCCAGAGTGGGTTTTTATATACTAACGCCCAAGAGTCCAGAAAAGCAACCAATAACTGGCGACCATCCTGCAACTCCAGATGTGTTCCCGAGACAACTGCTCTATCCACGTACACACCACACTAAACCCTCCCCCTCAACACACTCCATAAGGGAAGTTGTTAAGCCTAACAGGGACAGAACCACCGCGACTTACTACAAATTGTGTGGGAGCATTCACCTAAACTGCTACACAAAAACACTCCCTCAAAACAGATATGCAGTGGCTGCTTCACCCACTAACAAAGCACGCTCATCAACGTACCCCTACAAGTCAGAGTTTACAGCTCAAAACACACTACCTGAGAGCTGATCTCCAATCTGGATTCAAACTGACAAGCCCCCATTTTGTCATATAGGAAAATATAGGAACCGACAAAAATGAGAGACAGACGAGCGGAGTCAAAGAATAATTAATTTTCTCCCAATTATGTCATGGAAGAACTGCTCAGCCAGCCAAAGAGAAGTGTGGATCAATGCTGCCTGTTCCGGTCTGGTCGGGAGGCCAAATCAAGTAGAGCCAGTGACTGACTGGAATTTATTATTTGACAGCCATCAGGTGCTATCAATTAGCAGCCCCTCTACCCGCTTCCTGGAAAGAACAAAAACAAACAGTGACATGACAACACCTACTGGACAGAGGGGGTCGTCACAATACAAAACAAAATTTTGTTTTGTACAGCTCTCATGACATCTCCAGTTCTTAAGGTGCAGCAGTAATGTAGTATCAGATGTAAACATTGGGAGAAAAAAAACATGGTGCAAAAACATGCTTTGATAAGGTCAGTTTGATGCAGAGACTGTGACATGATTTACAGTTGGGGGTTTTTCCATAGCTTTTTTCCAGTTTTTTTTTTTCTCTTTTTTCAGTTTTGTTAACATTCAGCTGTTTGATGGCAGCGGGGAAGAAGCTGTTTTGGAATCTGCTGGAATGCTGCGAAGCCTCTTCCCATGCGCCAAGTACCTATTGTTGAGCTTCCTCCACAGTTCCCCTATTACAGAAAGGCATCAGTACACTGCCAGATTTGGAAGGGGGATGACATTTTCAATAACAGATGGAAAAAAGGCCAACAGTCATCAATAATCAGGAAAGAGATTAGATCACAGTGACATTATAAGAGGTGAGTGTTTCTCTAAACTTAATATAAAGGCCAGATGTAAACCTTTCTGTTGGAATGTCTAAAACCTGACAGTCATGGGCAGTTCTAGACAGGGGCCAATGGGGGCCAGTGCCCCTGTAGATCATGCCATGGCCCCTGTTATGGCCCCTGTAC